TATTTATATCTCTCCTTCTGTGCTTTGCTGCGTCCTTCTGTCGCACCAAACAAGAAGTTAAATCACAGTCGAGGCTTTTACTATAAGTGCATTTTATTTTCCTCCTGTCCGCGGCTTTGAAGGGCCCAATTTCTCCCAATTATCCCTCAAACATTGTCCCGAGTGTCTCGCTGCCAACGTAAAGAAGACAACTTGATAAGACAGTCGGCACTCAACACAAATACTATTATGTGAAGAACTGTAAACTGCAATATCTTTCTTTTTTTTTTTTTTTAAATGCCAGACTTTCTGGCAAAACCTTTTATGCTCGATCATTGGGAAGAAATGGTCAAGCTTGGATAGACATGTAGCGCTGGATAGGCTTTTTCGCTCAACACATCAATGTTTTGGCGTGGCTGAGTGTGTTTGTGTGCTTTCCTGTTGCTCTGATTCTGGTTTTGCCAAGCTTCAAGTTTGCTTAAGAAAATAAGTTTTTCTTTATTTAAGAAATGTGAGTTTTTTTCAGTATTAGCATTTATAAACATTGTTTTTCATTATACAGCATATGGTCCTGATTTTAGTCATGCAGGACACTCGTAACTTTGTATGAACTTATTGATAATAATGGAATTACAATGTGATATAGTATCATGCACTGTATGATGACATTGAAGTGAATGTTATAAATTTGCTCTCCATACGTGACACAAATTAATTTGAAATTCCTTATTGTGAGTGTGTGATGTAGAGTGGAGTGATTTACCTTCATGTCTGTCTCATACGCCGCAGTCATCAGTAACAGACTCCAGTGAGGACAGAGCTGCAGTTATGACAAGGGACAGCAAGGACAAGGTTGGTGTTTGCAATTACCCTCCACTGACAACTCCTATCTTTTTTATATATGTTTGCTCCACATTCAACTGTAGGAAAGTAATGCTCCTTGCACTAGAGACCAGGTTTGAAATACTAAACGTAGATGTGTTCAACTTTTCATCGTGAACTCAATATGTTGTCAAACGCGACACTGGCGTATGCCTGTCAATAGATGCAGGTGTCTGTCAGAAATGTGCTGTCTTCTAAAGTTGTTGCCCTTTGTCTCTTCTCTGTAGGAGGGTTACAGTCACAGTAGACTTTTCCTCCGCCTCTCCCCAACTAACCCTTTCACTCCTACCCCGTTTAAGGTTTGTGGGTCTCTGTGTTGTGCTTTCCACTCTCCCCTTTCTGCCTATGCTTGTACAGATGTGTTGATGTACCACAATGCACTTCGTGTGTTGAATATATTCCAACATGCTGTACATGCATACACTCAAACAAGTCCTAACATCTCCTCCATCTGAATTCCTTGTGCAGTTTGTGAAATCAGAATGTTTTGTCCTTTCTGTGTTTTGATTTTAGCCATTTCCTTTTAAAATTGGTACTCACTTTAATGGATGACAGCTTGATATCTTGTTTGTACGCAGATTTTGCTTTTAAACAAGAATTAAAATAATTAAAAGTATGATGTGTTGATCTAGTTTTCAGGTAAGTGCACATCTCATGGGTGAATACTTGATTTGAAGTACTAATTTAATAAGTAATTACCGCATAGACTGTATATAAAGATGGACAACATGACAGATCTCTAAAGGTGGAGCCAAATATCTCAAATGCCTCCTGGTAGCTGGCTGCACTATAGGTCTTAAACCCCACCCTTCCATGTTACTGATGTGTTAGGTAGTTGTCAAGCTTATATATGTTATTTTTTTCTGATAACTTTGGTTTTAATTTGTTTTTTGATGCTATAGAAAGGGGGTTCAATGACATGATTGTACATCAATTGATGCGCTTGTGATCAATGGTGCTGTTCACAATTGGTTGGATGGGTGTATGGGTGGGAACTCGATACCGCTGACATCACTACGGTGTAGACTCTGGCTCCAAATGACGTCACAAGCGCAAGATGGCAGTAGCTGTATCCAGGATATTTTGGCTTCATTTTTGCACAGTGGTAGGAGGTGACGTGGCATCCATCTTTATATACAGTCACTGTATCACAGCAGTAATAAATGGCAATTAAATGTAGCATTTCTGACTCAGTAAGCATAATTTTATTATATATTATAAGGCTGTAGCTTTAGTAGGCTGATTATACTAATGCTGATTTGAGCATGTGGCATCTATGGAGCCACATCACATTATCATTTCTCAGCCTAAAGCTAACAAATCCTGCCACAATGGATGAAGCTGTTATGCAAACCAAGCATATGGCTTCAGCAGCGCTCACGAGCCTTCTTCTCTCTGTAAACCTCATACAAGTTGATTCAAACTGAAGTGCAAAGATGAAACCTTCTCCTTTCTCTTTACCTTTCGCTAATAAACTATTTTCCAACTCCATCTGCGGCGTGACAGCCGGTGAAGCGTGAAGCAGCGAAGGCATCTCCCACCAGTGCTGTCCTCCCCCTGCCAGTGGTGCCCCATGTGGGAGAGACTGATACAGACACGCTGACAGAGATTCCTGGCAGACCTGCTGAGGCAGAGGAGGAGGTGGAGGAGGAGGAGGTGGAGGATGAGTTTGGATACAACTGGAGTGAGTTCAGTTTGTCTTTTTTCTCGGGTTATAATTATATATTCTGTTAGGAACAACAATACTAATGCCTGTTTTGTTAATTTTTTTGTAACTGGTTTATTTTATTTAACACTGGCCTATCCTAAGTAAATCCTGGTTTGTGTGAATCATTGGTGTGAATACAGAGATATACACTCACATACACAGAATCACTTAATGGAGAAAGAAAGCATATTCTGACTTTCTTTGGCATGCTTTATCACCTAACTGCCACTAGAGGTCCTCCAAGGTACATTTTGTTTTTTGACTACTTATAAATTAATCTAGAGTGCAATAAAAGAGTACTGATTCACATGCTTGAGGTGGTTGTACCTCATCAAAACTTGAAGGACTCAATGTCCCAATTAAGCTATTAACATCCTGCAGATGCTTTAATGCCAACTGTAGGATGAAGTTGAAGCCTCAAGGAGAACAGGTCACAGCTGGTCGCATTCAACTCAGGCAACAAGCATAAAGGACAGACTTCCAGCCTCCAAACACCTGGGACTGTGGTGAATGTGCGTGTGTGTGTGTGTGTGTGTGTGTGTGTGTGTGTGTGTGTGTGTGAGAGAGAGTGCTCCCATCCTGTGGGGATAAGATTGATGAGGGTAGGCCCGGAGAGGTGAGTTGTGGAGATTAGTACAGGACTGATGGTCCAACAGTGGCAGGGAGCCCAGAACAACAGGAGCCCATTGGTCTGAACAGGGGCTATCTAACACACCAGAGACAGGAGAGGTGGAGAGAGAGAGATGGGGCTGGAGTGAGAAGGGGGGGGATAACAATGGGCACAAGATTGAGACAATGAGATAGAAACTCAGCTGTCTGACATTTGGAACTTTTACTTTTTGTGCCACTGCGTCTCACCCAGTCCTAACACCTGCCCTCTTCATTTGAGCAACACGACACAAACTGATACGGAGGCCCAGGCTCGATGTATCTGGCACTATTCAGCAGTATTGTCAGCTTACATCTGTCTGCCACGACTTCTCCTGCCTCTTTCAGAGAACATAATCCAGCGATATGGCAGCCTGCCGGGTGTCCTACACATGATTGAGCTGGAGAAAGGCAAGACAGGACTGGGCCTCAGCCTGGCGGGGAACAGGGACCGCTCTCGCATGAGTGTGTTTGTGGTGGGAATAGACCCCAACGGGGCGGCCAACAGGGACGGACGTATGGTGGTGGGGGATGAGCTGCTGGAGGTAAGATGTGTATTGATTTTGGCTCTAAACTCTCGTGGGTTCATAAACAAAGTTAGCTGGATATGTGACTCCCTAAAGTTATAGAATTTAAACCTAACTGTTTTATGTTTTTGGTCGTGTTTTGTGACATATTTCTTTTGGGGGAAAAAGTGTGTTTAATTTAATATTTTTGTATCCTGTCAGATCAACGGGCAAGTCCTTTACGGCCACAGTCACCAGAATGCATCCTCCATAATCAAGAGCTCTCCATCTAAAGTCAAAATCATCTTCATCAGGTATGAAAACACTTCGTCTTCCTTTTGAAGCCTCTATGAATAAATTTCCATGGCAACAGCAACTGCATTTCATTGCCACACTGCATATAATGAAAACTGACCTGAAAAAGTTCAAGTCTAGTGTAATGTTATTCAAAATTCAATAGAGGGAGCCATTGTAATTCAACAGAGGGATGCACTTGAAGGTGAAGTACTGCCATCCATATTCAGTGGTTACTAACAGACTCGTGCACATCAGACAAGAAGAAGCATGTTTATTAGCTGAAACCACAGTTTTTTCAGTCATTTATTAATTTTTAACTTTGTATGCATTTGTCAAAGTGTATGTAAAAAGGGGTTTTAAAACCACAAAATCAAGGTAACATTTGACTACAGGAGTTCGCCAAATCCGCACTACATACTAGTTCTAAACAGGTTTTGTCCATGTGATGTGGACAGTTAAGTATGCCAGTATGCACACCATAAAACCCAGATTTTGAGGGTGTAGATGTATACTGTAGTTGCTTCAAGTGTGGTCCACAGCCCTCAGAAACATTTTGCGCTGCCCCTAAACATCACACCAAATGCATGCATTATATTGCAATCATCCACTGTCCTTATGGAAACTTACAGTCAGTACACTAAGCACAAGCATCTTTCTAAACAGGAATGACAACTTGCAAAAAGCTGGTGGTTGTATGGCAAACACTGGCACCTTGCAAGTGTCATGGCAATTATGCTGTGTCATCAGTCCTAGTGCTGCTGGTTAAAGTTCTCATTTCAGTGGACAATTTTGCAGTTTAATGTGGAACTGAGATTACCTGTGTGGCCCACTATTCTCCCACAATGCAATGTACAAAGGAAATGGAAAAGCTCCTAACAGCTGCAAATAATTAAAACTATTATTGACGGTGGTGAAAAAGCTCCCAAAACACCTAGAATATATATTTAAAAAATAAATATTACTTTTTTTTTTTTTCTTTTTTTTTTTTTCAAACAGCAAATGCTTACTTCTTATACACTCAACACAAAAACAGTAGGGGAGAACAGGGTTGGCTGTTACTTTTGTCACTCATTTGAATCCCTCAAAGACTGTATCCTCAGTAGACTCCCTATTTGGTGTCAAGCTTATCTCACCTAGGAGCACTTTAGTCAAAGAAAACCTTTTTTCCATTTGCAGTATTATATTTGGCGGTATGGCTCTGTTCTGGGGCCTCTCTGCCTTTCCTAGGCCTACGCAGAAAGCCTAAGGCAGAGAGAGCGCACCTCTCTGTCCTTCCACATGCAACTGAGGAAAGCCTGAGGCAGAGAGAGCAAGCCTCCCTGCCCTTCTTTGTGCCTACATGGAAAGCCTAACGGAGGGAGAGCAGCAGCAAAGACCCGCCAGAAACAGAACAGAGCAGCGTCAATGACAGGCAGAAATGATATTGATAAGTCAGACACAACGAGGAGGAGCTGGGGTGGAGGCGGGTTGCAAAGCAGCCTGCAGAGGAAGCAGCAACAGTAGGCAGGCCAGAGCAGTTTAAGTAGGGTGCCCTGAATGAGATTTGTCAATTAACAAGAGCAATGCATGTGATTACTGCCAGAGTATGTGAAAAGTATCCCCAACTAGGATTCTCTGCTAACGACCAATCTAACAACCACATATCGTGGCTCTGCTGAGAAAAAACTAACCTGTAGCTCTCTTTTTTTTACTTTTTAGTTATGGTTATAATGTCTTTTTATAAACCCACTGTGTGAAAGCCTAGAAGAGAAACACACAAAAGATGGCTATTTACATTTTTACAAAAACACTGAAAGTCATCTCACCTCAGTGTCAAGTGTCTTACTCCTGAAATGACTTTGTAGGTGAACTCTGACCCCAATTCTGAATAATTCAATACCAACAGTTTGTAGTAGCACCCTCTTGGGAAGGAGACGTGATAAATGTGACAACCAACCCTGTCTCCCCTATCCTGTCAAGATTAGTATGGCGTGTAAATGCGATTGAGCTCAGTACGCAGTATGGAATTGTGACATAACAGCTGGAATATCAGCACAGAAGACCAAGTCAGACACATTTGACCCTTGACCCTTCCTCAAACAGCCCTTGCCAAGATCACACTACTTAACCTTCTACTTAACTCACATCCCTTTCCTGACCCCTCCCCCCTGAAAGAGACACTGTGATCAGCCCACGTAAATCATGGCTCCGCTGTCACGAAGCAGAGGAGCGACGATTTACGTGAGTTATGACTCTTTGGAACAGGAACACGGAGGCGCTGAACCAGATGGCTGTGGGACCTGTGAGAGAACCCGAGGGAGACACAGTGGAGCCCCACGCTGAGGTACGTCTGCGCTCGTGGCCACACACGTAACACGAGTCGCACACATGCACAAACGCTACGCCAGAAAAACTTTATGCAGATGTTGGGGAGTGACATTCCAGCTCAATAACAAGCTATTAAAACTCACACCCAAACCATTATTAGTACTTTGACTCTACCCTTGTGTAATTAGGTTTTTACGCTGTGTCATGCTACTGAATTGTTTACATGTATGTTTGCTCCTAAAAGTCTTTTTGTGTGGTCCTGGAGTTCCCAACCTCCCATGCCTGTGTGCAACTCCCAAGACAACCAGAAACCACAATCACACTCGGCACTGTACTCCTACTGACCGACAGACACGAACACAAGTTTGTTTACTTCATATTGTACCAACTATTACTACTGTTTCCTCACAGATAGAAACAACTGCTGCTAACGGCGACGCCGAAACATCAAAATATGTGCATCACAGCATAAAGCTGAAGGTGAGATACACTGGACCACCCAATACACATGCATAGGACAACCCTGTTCCTTTCAAATACCAAAATAAAGATAATAATAGAGCGGAAGTCTTGGAAGCAACGCCATAATGAGGAAGGTAGACACAAAAAAGTTAATGGAGTATGACAGAGAAAGAGAAAGGGAGCACATAGGAGCAGTCGAGTCTGACAAGCTGCCAGGGAAGAGAAAAAAGACAGAAAATTGTCAAATAAAAACAGCGCTTAAACAATTCAACACGTGAATGGGAGAAGAGCAGTTCCAAAGGGACATAAAGGCTCAGTTCACCCAAATAATAAAAAGAGGAACAGATTTTTACCCCTTGTGGTGTCTATTTTATAGCCTGGAGATGTTTTCAGGTTTATTTGCCAAATTTTTATATACTTTATATACTTTATTACGTGTCAAGCATTGACAAATATCCCTACCAGAGAAAAGTTCCTACTAAAAACCGCTCCACAGTAAAGTGAATGGATTCTTGAGAGATTGTTTTGAATGTCATTCTTTGACCACCAATAATAGCATCCATTCAGCTCCGTCATGTTGCAAAGATCTCACTGTAAGGATATCACAAAACCAACCATCCATCCATCCATCCATCCATTTTCATCCGCTTATCCAAGGCCGGGTCGCATGGGCAGCAGGCCAAGCAAAGCGCCTCAGACATCCCTCTCCCTAGCAGCTCTTTCCAGCCCCTCCTGGGGGACCCCAAGGCATTCCCAGGTCAGATGAGATATGTAATCACTCCAGTGTGCTCTGGGTCTGCCCCGGGGCCTCCTATCAGTGGCACGTGCCCCAAACACCTCCAGCGGGAGGTGCCCAGGAGGCATCCTGATCAGATGCCCGAACCACCTCAGCTGAACCCTTTCGACGCGAAGGAGCAGCGGCTCCACTCCGAGCTCCCTCTGGATGTCCGAGCTCCTCACCCTATCTCTAAGGCTAAGTCCAGCCAGGACGGAGGAAACTAATTTTGGCAGCTTGTATCTCATTCTTTTGGTCACTACCCAGAGCTCATGACCATAGGTGTGGGTTGGGATGTAGATGAACCAGTAAATCGAAAGCTTCGGCTTCCAGATCAGCTCCCTCTGTATCTCAAAACCTTACCCATTAAACTGAAAACATCATCACCACATACAACAAGAGATCATTTGTGATTCCATTGAACTGACCCTTCAAGAAAATACCCCACTAGGAACAAACGATCAGAGGTGTGATGGATCTAAGGTGAAGCTGGGGCTTATTATCTTTCTGGAAACAACTGTCATCAGTAATACTGGTTTTTGCTAACTGGAGGTGCTCTTTTATTACACAGTAGCACATGTTAAAGCTATATCTGTCAGTCTGCATGCTATGTTCGGATGCACCGTACCAAAAGGTACCAATTTAAATCCCATCTATGCCCTTGCTTCGATAGGAGGACGGAGGACTTGGCATCACCTTTGTGGAGGGGAACACTGAGACTGGAGTTGAGATTCAGAGTATATCTGAAGTGAAAGGACACACGGGCAAAGTATGCACTGTATTATATACTGCAGCTAATGGTTTGTGTACATTATAAAGTTGGTTGCTAACAAAACTGTGATCTGCCGTGTGCAGGAGTGCTGCATGAAACCAGGGGACAAACTGTTAGCTGTGAATGGTGAATCAGTGCTCGGCTACACTGTGAAAAAGGTACAGTGTCACTGTAATCATCATATGATATCTCATATAAAGACAAGTATCTGCTTAAATTTTCTTCTTTGTAAGAATTACGTAGAAAGCAACACTAGTCACGATGTAAAGCTGGAGTCTGATTAGTAATCCTACTGTGTTTTAGGTCAATTCTCTACTGAGAAAAGCCAAAGGTCCAGTGAAGCTAACGTTCTCTACAAATGAGACCCCCTCCTCCTTCTCCTTTCCCCAGTCATCCAGCCAAGATGGGGACTGCTCGGATGACGCCCTTGCCAGCCTACCTAGCATGCCTGTTGCTGCCACAGCTACCCTGAGTCAACCAGAGCCGGACGCAGTTGCTGGTAAGACCATTTAAAGACGTTTTACTTCTTATTCAGGAAGATAAACAATGGATCAATCGGCTTACTCTATGCTTCCTCTGTTTTAGGTCCGAGCCGCTCATCCACCCCTTCCACTCTGGCTTGTGACCCTGCGACCTGTCCCATCATCCCCGGCTGTGAAACTACCATTGACATCTCCAAGGGCCGCACGGGCTTGGGGCTCAGCATCGTGGGAGGCTGTGACACCCTGCTGGTAGGGACTGAAAATAATATGGACTACAGTCTGCTAATGAGGCTGTATCTGACTTTTCTATAACTCATTTAACGATACAAATAAGGTTATTAAATGTAAAAAGTATTTGCACTTCTTCACAATCTGAAATATACTTTAATCTTGTAATAACTTTAAAAAGTTACATGACTGTACTTCTAAGTTACCAACCAACGTGCCACCCACTGAGAATCTTTGGTGGTGGTGCAACCCAGGTTGGAAATAGCCATGGCGGCTCAGGAATGTAGGAAATGATGTTGTCACAGCCTTCCTCCTCCTCCCGTCCTCTCCTCGGCCCATCTATTCTGTCTGCTCAGTCAGGCTTGGGGGAGCAGCTCTTTGTCTGGCCTCGGCCGCAGCAGACAATATCCAGCCCAGGAATGTAACCTCTGAACCCCAAATGACACTCACACTGGAGCGCAGAGAAAGCACACTGGAAGTCAGGGAACATACACTCACAGAATGAGAATCCAAAATAACGTCAGTCTGCTGTCAAATGCAAAATTTTTTAAATCGTTCTCTCCTTTAATACAGTCTGTATTTTCCCTCCACTATTTGCTGTCCTGTTTCCCTCTCATTTCCTCCAAATAAATCATCACGTCTCTCATTTCGTCTGTCAGTTCCCGTTCACCTTCTCCTCCTGCTCTGGACTTATTTACTGTCTTTTTTCTCCGTCTCTCCAGGGGGCCATCATTATCCATGAAGTTTATGAAGAAGGGGCAGCCTCGAAAGATGGCAGGCTTTGGGCAGGAGACCAAATCCTAGAGGTGCGGTGCAGTATAATGAGCATCTCACATGACCTAGATTAAAAAGAGGCTGAACGCATTGCAATAACTGAGACGTGGCTGCCTGAGGAGACATAACATCAAAGCTTTGGCTCCCAGGTTCAGTCGAGTATCATACAGTGTGATAAATATGTTGATATATGTCTCACATATATAAAAGTTATGTCATTATCTGGCAACAAAACACTCAAACCAAAAGACTTATTGCTGTTTGTGAGTGATTCCCAGAAAAAAAGTCAGAGGAAAGCACCAACTAGTATGAACCCTGTACGTATTATGTGGAGAGTAAGTTAAGTATCCCAGCTCAACTTGGATTTGCCCTCTATCTGACCTTATGCTTTGTCACAGAGGGAGGGCAGGGGTGGAGCCCAGGAGTTTTGTTATGGTAGCTCAAATCAGTAGACCTGAATCAGAGGCACACATGCATGCACGCACACATACACACACCCTTATGACTTAATTGCCCTCTGCTATTCATTTCTGTCCCTGAGCCAAGCCGTTGTGTTTAGAAAACAGGGTCAGAGAGGAAAAGTGAAAAGAGCGGTTTCCCAGTCCACAGCAGTGCCATTAGCTGCGATGGGAAAAATCCTTTGCATGTCCATGGCAGAAGCTAATGGGCTATTTCCCCCGCTTTAATGTGGTAAAAGAAGTTTCAACATCAACTGACCACTCAAGGGTCTCACAGACTTTTGTGGGAAGGCTGCTTCCCTCTAGTTAGATTTTAGTGTTGTAATATTTTTATATTATGATCCAGTGTTCAGATAGCTCAGCAGTTTGGGTTTCTAAAGAAGAAATGTGACCTCAGTGGGTAGGGGAAAATTCTGCTTTAGCGTTAAATTAGGCTGTTAGCACTTTTTACAGCCCTCTGCTGCATTCATTTTATATTTGAGACGGAAGGAAAGGGCTTTGCTGTTTTGCAGAATGCCCTAAAATGGAAATTGGCCCAAACATTTCTGTTTTTATACATTTAAAATGAACCTCAGATAAAGTGTATACTAACCTCCTTCTCTCTCGTCACAGGTGAACGGCATCGACCTGCGCGCAGCCAGTCATGACGAAGCCATCAATGTGCTGCGGCAGACACCGCAGAGAGTGCGTCTGACGGTCTTCAGGGACGAGACGCAGTACAAGGAGGAAGATCTGTGGGACTCGTTCACTGTGGAGCTTCACAAGCAGCCTGGCCAGGGCCTGGGCCTGAGCATCGTAGGGAGGAGGTGACAGACATTTGTTATTAGTAATACTGCATAATGTTGAGCATGGAGTTTATCATTACGCTGCTTTTGGGGGTCACAAAAAAAAGGTAGCATATTAGGAAGCTTGGTAAACCCTCATGTACAATTAATAGTACAAGTAGAAATAAATAGCTCAGGCATTAGAGCAAATAAACCCCAAAAGTGGGACTACAGTTATAAATAAGTAGATATAGAATGGTATCGGTAATATAATGAGCATCAATAGCAAATAATCTGAGAGTCAGCACAGTTTGACAGTAACTGTATGATCTTTTTTTTTTTTTTTAATGCAGATCACGGGATCAGAGGTAATCATTTTTAAAAGGCTTGTATATTTAGACAGGGTGTAGTATATAGAGAGTTAGATGATAGAGAGCTTATTCACACTTAAAACACAGCAGGCTTAAAAAAGGAGTTTTGAGATGTTCCAACAGATAATAAACCGCAACTGTATAGTCATGACTTGCTACTCTGTATTTGTTTTTGGGCCTTGTGCTTATGGAGCCCTCAGCACAACTAGGTGTAATTAAAATAGTAAAGTATTATATTTGGTGTTAACCTGTAGATATTAGGGGTGGGATTCACCATAGGATCCATGGTACAGTATTATTACGATGCAAATATGTTGCGATGAGCTGAGTATTGAGATAAAATATGGTGCGATATATTGTGATTTATTACCTTTTTCAACTCTGAATTATGTCCCCAAAGGAAAACTCCGTTTTACCTAACAAAATAGAGTCTTCAGTCTGTTTATCTCATTTAAGCCATTTTTTTACAACAGAAAACTGTATCTGTAGGACTGAAAAAGCAACTGATTATATTTTTCGAGTAGGCTGACTAAAGTTTTCTTTGAATTTTAATATTAATAATTCATATAATTAAAAAAATCAATACTTGGCACAATACAATATTGCCACACAAAAATGTTATTGAATGAGTCGAAGAATCGATACAGCATAGTATCGATTCTTCGACTCATTCTCATAAACACAATATCTCAAAAACACCTTCAGGATTTTTAATTTGTTTTTGTTTTTTTTAAATTTGGCACAAATGTCCATTTGGACTCAAGGATGAGCTGATTAGAATTTGGTGGTTTAAGGTTTAAGGTCTAAGGTCAAGGTCACTGTGACCTCACATGACATGTTTTTGGCCATAACTCACACTCAACAGTCAACATACACTAATTATGACAAAATTTTACAAAAATAACTAGTAGTGTAAAATAATTAAGTGATGGCATGCTATATCAAAAAGGTCAAAGGTCAGCTTCACTGGGACATTATGATATTCCGGAAAAAACACTTTTCTGGCCATTATTCAACATCGTAATTCTGGAAGTGGAGGGGAGACCTTTGGTCAGATTGAATTGGTGACACTAATTTTGGGTTTCCACCATTAAACTGTACTGATTGCAGAGATCGTCTGTGCCGCCGGGGGGAAGATATATGCGAGGCATTCATGTTTTCACAGACATGGATGCAAACTGTAACTGCAACTTGACTGGTTTGCACCAGGCATAGCTAATTCTTTTTTTTTTTTTAAAAATTATTTATTTATTTTTTTAGCATCAGTAAAATAAGCACAATAGAAAAAAACACTCTGTACTGTCACAGTTAACTGTGAAACATCACAACAAAATGATGTCTATAAATCTTATTTTATGGTTGAATAATTGTTTTTTTGCCTGGCTGGGCGGCTCATTTCTAGCGGCACTAGCAGTGATCATGACTGCGGTGTGTTGCCAGTGACTGTTGGCTGTATCTGGGAATGTTACTGCTTTTTGTTCCCATTAGACCCGTGACTGAAGATTTACACGAGTCTTACAAGGAACGTGGGCTGACAAATTGTAGCCCGTCTTACATAAACTTAACTCAGGCTTCTATTCTCGATGGAGCATTTATGGGTTAAGACTCATGTGGGACAAGGTCTGCTGGTCCACATGCTGACAGTTTTTAACAGTCAGGTGTGTAGAGAGTGGTGATTGATCTCACCTCTGGGATAACCCTCAGGAATGGCTGCAGACCACACGTGCATATGCACTGCTGATTATATGTGTGTATAAGTGTTTGGGTTTGTCCAAGTGTGCAAATGTTTGTGCATTACAAAAAAGAAAAATACAAAATTCAGTAACATCTGAGCCAGCTGCAGGGTAAAAGTTGGGGTCATGGGTTGAACAGCTTGGACAGCAGTATGTAGACCAACTTTAAATGCAGTTGTAAATCTTTGCCTCTGTCAGAGCGGTTTTGCTGCACAAGTGGAAAAAACAACTGCAAAGTTCAGTAGGATGGAAAAGGCAGCAACATAACAGACAACCTAAAATCCTGGGCTAAAACGGAAAGTGCAAGCTAGCAGTTAGTGGTGAGGAGCTGTGACAGCCAAGTGTCTCTGGCACTGGGGATTGTATGATCAAGTTGCCTTGCTTCACAGCTTCTGCTCGTGGTAGTTTTATCCACGTGGAGATTTGCACTTCGGACATGCAAGGCCAACAGCGGAGATGTGCTTTTTGGAAACACACAGGTCTCTGCAGTTAACTTAATTTCCCAGAGGTCAGTGCTCAGAGCTAGCGCAGATTTTGGGACTGTTAGCTTTAGACAAACAAGGGCATGCTGTATTTTCCTGTGACAACACCAAATGGTTCGTGAAAGGATGTTTTTAAGCTTGGGTTTACCACTCACTGCTTTTTTGGCAGATAATAGAGCCTCAAAACCTAAACTGGGTCAAAAGGGGGGAAAGCCTTGGAGAGGCTGAGGAGGGACAAGCAGGTGGCAGTCACTATAGCTGGCTGTGGTAGGTGTAGACACCCGTCAGTCAAGCAAACAAGCCTCAACACATGCCTTTCATAAAGGCGTCATATCTCCTTAGCATCTTTTTGGTGAAAGATGATTCTTAGAACTCTCGCCAATATGCTTTTTAGAGGACATGAAGTAAGTGTGAGTCAGGTGAAGTCATTAAAAGAAGTGTTTTCCAAGCTTCTCACTTTTGTGTCTGACTGCAACATGTTCACAGTAAGCATACGCTGGATTCAAGATGGAAAACACATCTTTTGAGGGCACCGTTGGGGGGTAAACACACTCTTTGCTATTAAATATTCCATCTTAGCAGCTGTTTGTCTGCCGCTTCCCAAGAAGCACAAGCCACATTTGTGCAGAGGTCCACTGGAAAAATGTGAAAGTGCTGAATCAAAAGAACTCAGCAGTATGATACAGTTAAGGTGAACTGCTATTTCACGGTTATTTCTTTGAACTGTCCTACCAGGAATGACACGGGGGTGTTTGTGTCCGACATTGTGAAAGGAGGTTTGGTTGACACTGATGGCCGACTCATGCAGGGCGACCAGATCCTGTCAGTCAATGGTGAGGATGTCAGGTCGACTACACAGGAAGCCATGGCTGCACTACTCAAGGTACATCTATCGCACTGGCCCTCAGAAGGACATAGTTAGTGAATGGCACATCTGCTTTAAACTGCCTTGGATGACTATATTAAAAATAACGTACCTTGTGTTTTAGTGCTGCGTGGGGCCTATAAAAATGGAAGTAGGGAGGTTTAAGGCAGGCCCCTTCCACTCGGAAAGAAGGCTGTCTCAAAGTAGTCAGGTACTGTGATTTCATATCTTTGAAAGATAACATTTAAAGGGATAGATCAGATCTTTTGAAGTGGGGTTGTATTAGGTACTGATCCATAGTCAGTGTATTACCTGCAGTAAATGTCAGTCAGCATGCCCCCAGTTTGGAGAGGTACCACCACATAAGCACATAAGGTACTGCTTAGGAGGGTCGGCAACAAAATGTATTTTAGCCATCTATAAAATTCAATATCACTTTAAGTGTATGCTATATTTAGAATATTTGCAGCTCTTCACCTTGCCATCTGACAACGATTTCCGACGGGGAACTGAAGCTGTTATGTCGCTCTCCTCAAAGCCAGACTCCATTGAGAAAACTAGTAATTTAACATCACTGAACACAGGAGCTGCTGGGCTACTGCTGCCTCGATCGGTGAGTTTGTTTGTGTTATTCTGTGACTTTGGCATTTAAAGTTGTCAGATCAGATTCACCAGAGTCACACAATAACATGTACAAACTAACTGATCGTGGCAGTGGTAGCCCAGCAGCTCCTGTGTTCAGGGAGCTAAAATTACTCATTTTCTCAATAGAGTTTGGTGGCTTTGACAAGAGCATTGATGGGAAACTGAAGCTGTTAATGGCTTCCCTGCCAGTAAGGGCTGTCTGCAGCAATGTAAAGCAGTGAAAATATTTTCAATATAGCATACACTTAAACTGTAACTGATTTTTTTGGGTGGCTAAAATGCGTTTTGATTCTGCCTCTCTCTACAGCAGTGCATTCTTTAGCTTCCGTGTCAGTACTCCTGCCGTTTTCTCAAACTAGGGGCGTGCCAAGCAACATCTCCTGTATGTAATACCCTGAATATGGATAAGTACCTCATACAACCCCACTTTGAAAAATCCAAACTATCCCTTTAATGTCTAATTGAAAATACACTGACAAATCAACAAAACAAAGGAAGAACCGACACTGAATGTCTTTGTTTCAGATGAGTGAATCAGGCAGCACCAAGGTGGCCTCTCAGTCATGCTTGGACTCTGGGAACCTTCCCAGTGATCCCGAAAAACGAAGTAGGAGTCCTGATGGTAAGTGATATTAATTCATAACAACACACACACACACACACAAAAAATGGTGGCCAAAGCATTGTATAATTTTGCACGTCTTTACAGCTCCGGAGCAGCAGGACACCAGAACAGTTGAGTTCACGAAAGGTCCCAATGATTCTTTGGGGATCAGTATAGCAGGGGGTGTGGGCAGCCCTTTGGGTGATATCCCCATCTTTATCGCCATGATGAATCCTGTCGGCCTGGCCGCTCAGACCCAGAAGCTCAAGGTACCAGATTTACACCTCCCTCTCAGTAACCTTTACTCAGCGACCAGCAGAATACAAAACTAAGAATTTGCATGCCAGTAATTCTTGTGTGGGATTTAATGTGAATCTTAATTATGTACGGTGATCGTATTCCCACTCACTTTACTCAGTTTGTGGCTCCCAAAGGTCAAGAGCTGACAGCCTTAAGCAGTGACCTTCGCAGTTAAATGACAGAGAAACTGACAATTGTAGCTCTGTCTGACACAGACCGGAGGAGGACAATAGCCATTGCAAACACGGATAATAAATCTCCCACTCCTACATTCAGATCAGTGAGCCAACATAAGAGCTCACTGAAATGAATAGGGGCAAATCTTGAATAGTATATTCATGCTGCTTTATCTTTTTTCAGCCAGAGTGAGAGATGAGAACGCAACATAATGAAATTACTCAACTGAATAGTTTTGCTTTTGTGTGGCGTGGTGAATTAAATTTTCAAATAGTATCAGCCACATCCTGTTATCATGCAGAGACTTCTGTCAAGTAACACTGAAATCATAGAAATCACTTAACAGCACTTCTGCACAGTTCTAAAAAGCGGTATCCTTGTTGTGATACATATTCATACCAGTTTGAGGGAATAAGAAAACATTTGAGTGTTCATTCTACAAAATAGGTCACAGAGCAAAGTTTTGTCATATTTCCATTGTTGTTAACATTGTTTCCAACCCAAACACTGATGTGTCATAAACATGGAAAAAACAGCTTCACTGCTGAATGTGCCAAGTTGTTTTTTTCCCCTCTCATGCATCCTTTTAAATTGTGCTAAACTCTCACTTTTCCAGATCGGGGACCGCATTGTCAGTATCTGTGGGACCTCTGCTGAAGGCATGACCCACTCACAGGCTGTCACTCTGCTCAAGAACGCCACAGGCACAATACAGCTGCAGGTCTCAAACCACACACACACACACACACACACACACACACTTGTTCTCTCACCCTCTCTGCTCTAATTAGATAAACCTACAGACACAGTTAGATAGTCTCCAGTTAAATACGTTCTTTATTCTTTATCTGCGTACAAAGTTTCCACCTGAAAAGAACAGTCGAAAGCTACGAGCGGCAGACTTTGAAGTACTATAAAACTCTCTCATGCAGCACTGCCACTATGCTATCAGTCTTTATCTTGCAAGTCTGTCAATAAAAAAATAAAGTGTGTGTATGTTTTAATGCGTCTGTAGGTGGTAGCGGGCGGCGACACCACCGTGACGGGTCCCTCTCAGGAGCAGGCAGCTGCAAGTCTGACACCCAGCTGCATCTTCCAGGATGACCTCGGGTATGAACTAGTTATTACACAGGAAGACGATTTTGCTATGTTGTAAAAGCAGGTGCAACCAAACTGTCTTTCTGAATTGTATCCATGTTTCCATCAGCCCACCTCAGTATAAGACCATAAATCTTGAAAGAGGACCAGACGGACTGGGTTTCAGTATAGTCGGAGGGTATGGCAGCCCCCATGGAGACTTGCCCATCTATGTTAAAACTGTTTTTGGAAAGGTAATTGGCAAATTTCTTCATTTAACATTTGCAGAATTAACAAATTGCCTGGTGTTAATGAAACTCTATTTGCACGTGTTCAGGGAGCAGCAGCAGAGGACGGACGCCTGAAGCGAGGGGACCAGATAATGGCGGTTAACGGGCAGACCCTGGAGGGCGTCACTCATGAAGAAGCTGTCGGCATCCTGAAGAGGACCAAAGGAACTGTCACGCTCACTGTGCTTTCATAGACTCACAATTGCACAAATTTATCTTCACTACTTTTCCAAAACTTCTTATCACACCCAAAGTTAATCCACTTCTATAACGACAAACTTTAAAATAGCAACACACCTCGCAGGTGTGATGTCGTGTCTAGCGGTAGAAGTCGAACCTGCAATATTTCGCAACTGGAAGATTGTGTGAAAGTCAGCAGATGTTCATCTGTGAAAATATGCACACTGAAATAGGAACAACTATTTACTGATAATCATGAAGAAGTTTATTGCTCAATGTAACTTTGAACACTGTGATGCAGTAGAGTCTGCAGTAAGTAGACTCATGTATGTCGTGATAACTAAAGCTAAAAGAGCTTTTCACTGTCACCTCAATTGCTCTCAAAATAATATGTAGAGTAGAAATGAAGTATGAATTTATAGTTTGCCATACAGTTTTAATTTGTTGTTACATGAATCTCCAAGAGGTTGTAAATAGAAGGATAGTATGATGTGTTCACTCCAAATGTTAAGCAAGTTTTTCGTGCAGCGACATCACATACAAACTTAATGCAGAAACATGAATAGACAGGAGTTTGTGCTGGGCAACGCAAATGACGTGATGAGAACATGCAAAATTTGGGTATTTGCACAAGCTGAAATTTTTAAACTTACACAAGAAATTTGCATGATGCAATGATGCAAAAGCCTACTAGGGGTGAGATCTTGTTGAAATTTTCCTGACATGAAATGGAGAACAAACTTAGTGTTGCCGTCTGTTGGCACCCACTCTACCACTCAATGTCAGGACCTTACAGAGACAGAAAAGAGCTTGAAGATAAAGTGGGATTTATACTTGTGTGTCAGCTCTATGCAGAGCTTATGCCATTGTAAGCATTTATACTTTCTATGATGTGCTGTAAAGTTTAGTTGATTCAAAACACACATTAAACATGGCTTAGTAGAGACAATTTCAAACACAAGTACACAAATCAGCTTCACTATAACTTGCGGCATTCACAGACAAAGCACTTGTCTTTATCTGGACACTTTTTCCCCAGAAATACAACATGCTAATGTTTTTAGCACAAGCCTATGGCATTTTACATTGTATAAATTAGCCCAGTGGCTAGCGGACTTTTCCCATGGGAAGCCAGGGACAACAGCAACATTTAACAAAGATAACGTTACAAAGTTTGGCTCCATTACAACTCTCAAGGTTCACCAACAAAACAACTGTCTTATACTAAATGCGCTTTCCAAACAAATGTACCACGCTAACAATATCAGCACAATCCTATGGCTTGACAAGCCGAGATTTCCTCTACTCATATGAAGCCAGGATAAATCACACACAAGACTTAAAATGCTACTTCTGTGGAGGCTTCATTGTATTCACACATTTATTGTTTCTTATCTGTGAAAGCAAAGTAAATAAAAGCTTCGTTTCGACTAAGGGAAATGGTTTCAGCTTACAAAAATAGACAGGAGGTCTGCCTCGCTGTGACGTGTAGTTACATTTCTGGGGAGATGCACATCGTAGGATACGGCATAGGTACTGTGTCTACGTCAATGCAGACCTACACCGTAGTTACGGAGTTGATTGGACTCGAAAGTATAAATCCTGCTGAAGTGAGTGAAGCCGTGGGACTACTCATGCTAATGCTCTAAGTAGCCTAATTAGAGTTGTTTCGTGATTGTTCAACTATTGGTTTTACTTAAGTACGAACCAAGTTGGCCGTTAGCTGCCTTCCCCAGTTAGTAGCACAAATGTTAGCACAACTCTTGAGGGCGAATTTGCCATTTGTGAAACAGCCCAAAAAACACTCCAGCAGTCATATTCAGGGAGTAGTGTGAGGTGAAACTTTGCTTTGTGTTTTGTGTGAACACATCATTAGCTATCTCATCTGACTTACATTCCATTGCTCTGGATTGAAGTATTCACTGAACATAGTGATTCAAGTATTTTGCGGTTTCCTGTATTGAAATGAATGGACTATAAGATCATTATTTACACAAGTATTTTACAACAGAGAGAACCCTAGAGCAATATCAGAATATTTCTACAGAGGAGAGGCCTATTTTTCAAGGTTCTTTACAGTCTGGGGTCCACTTATAGGGGTGACCTCCCAATAAATTCAGAGCATGAAACAGCATGAAAACACCTGTGAGGCAATTAACAGATTAGCAGAATTTAACTAATGGCTATATTAGCTGATAATAGCATTATTCGTCTTTTATATTGCACTGCTGTTGGCAATTCATCATGCTGATTTTCCTAAAAGGTTGATGCTACTGTAACTGGTGTTAATCAACTTATCATGAAGTCACTGTTGTTTTAGCAGAAGTGGCCAATAGAGCATTTTGAAATGCTGCTGGCCAGAAGTCTGATATTGTAAATACACAGAAAGATGTGAAATCCTTAAATGAAGAAGCGTGCTTTGAGTGCACATTTGACGAGATGAGGAACTGTGTGTGCGTGAGTGTGTGTGTGTGTGTGTGTGTGTGTGTGTGTGTGTGTGTGTGAGACCAACTCACTGAAATATAGTGCTGCTAAAGCCGATATGTAAGGTATTATGTCAGTATTTGGATTTTTTTTTTTTTTTTTTTTTTTCTCAAGTATTAAGTAATGTGCACAGAGAAGCAAACGACCTGCTATCTATGTTGGAGTGGATGAATGGTTCTTCTGAAGTGTTTAACTTGTCAAATGATTCTATAAAGGACCTGAGCTCATATCGACCTTACTGTTTACCCAAAACAAAGTCATGGAGTGTGTAGTTTCTGAAGCCATTAGGCATGTGTTGTGTGGTCTAGTTTATGGGGGAGTTGTCTGTTCTCTGTCTTATCACCTTAAATATGTTTCTCTAGCACTGTCAATGTGACAGTATTGAATCTATTCACACTGAATTAAATAAAAGTGACCTTTGGATTCAATCGCCTTTGCATTTTCATAAATAAATCCACCCAGAAAACTGCAGAGTGACGATAAACTTAAATATAAAGATATAATGTTATTAAATGAATAATAGCCGAGCATTATGAAACGCAGGGCAGCTCTCCAAGTGCGCTAGCTGTTACTCAATCTAACTGCTCCTCACTGAACGCTTGGGTTATTGTACAGTATATACATCACATCTGCCATACATCACATGAATACATTTTCCAACCAGGTGATAAAAGCAATTCACTGTTGCAGGAGGTCACATTTAAATGAGAGGCAAATGGTTGAAAGTCAGAAGCTCAAACGTGTTGAAATTAAATGCAAAAAGATTTATAGATATGGGATGATATGGAACAGCACATGTGGACTTGCTTGAATAGACTCTCTGTTGTCACTTGAGACTCAGTAAAGCCCGGATAGAGAGAGCCGGAGCGCTCCATTAAAATATGGCATCCCATCTGTCTGTACACTGGCAAGCACAGCTGCTTCACAGCCTGTCACACCGTTTCTGTGGAGTCCTGTACTTGAAGTTCATTTCTTAAGTCGCTTTACAGCAAACATGTGGGCTACCAATTAATCACATGAGTCACGCAGGACCTCTGAGGCCCTTTGTCTAATGAAGCCTGGGGTCGGTTCAGATTCAGTGGGCTGTAAGAGTAACACTCTTTTATAGTAGAAGTATATTGCCAACTGTTGGGTGACTTCTTCACCCCGAGGTCAACACAGTTAGCCACAGCTGCTGCTAGCTAAACTGCAAGGTTGCTACCGCCAGCACTCGACAGCTGAGCTTGCCTCAAGCACCTGTTGTTTTAATGGTCCCGGTGGGTTTAAAGGTTACCCAGCCTCCCTCCAGGTTCAGGAGACGCTGGTTGGTTTACACAAGACTTGTCCGTACAAGCCTTTTAGAAGTGAGATCAGATGTTGCCACTGCGTCACGCTTGGCTTGAATGTGGGCAGATGGTGTAAAGTTTCAATGGCGCCAAACCTAAATCGCTTTAGAGATTGTGTTATCAAGATGTCAATCAGGCCTCTATGTGCATTTTTATGGAATCTGACCATGAACAAGACTTCTATCTGGACCTCATAAACAGGAGTTATAACAAAGACACTTTTCATGCCCTGTTCCATGCAAAATGTCAACTCCATAACTAAAGCATCTGACCCACAGCTGTAGATTCAGCCTGTGAGATGACTTTGTTCCACTCGTTCAAACATTTCAGAGCTTTCTATCATCATGACTCATGCTAGCTCCACACTGGCTATCAAGAAGTTAAGCAAACAGAAACCTTTAGTTGATGAGTGGGCCATCTATGACTCAGCAAACAGGCCAAACCGGATACCACCATCCTAGTTCAACTGCTGAAAGGGGTTTTGCTCAATTGCTTTGATTATCAGAGGGCAAATAAAGGAGGTAACATTTTTTTAATCGTGACAGTGTCAAAGTATGTTTTGTTCTGGCTTGAAACAGTGAATTTCTTTGACAAATGTGGCCAAGAACTGGTACTAAGCATGCAATTTTTGTCACTATCCAGAGTCTTTGATCTACCAAATCTAACTGTAGGCTATACCCATTCGCAGTAAATGTCATTTCCTTGACTCAAGTTTTTCTGATGGAAGAGTGCGTCAGTCTTAAACTGACAAGAATGGACCTGACAGAAAAAGTCCCTAAATTCTGATCCTGTTCCTCCACAACTGACAGTAATTCAACTATAATTTGTAGCCATGCTAGTGGCACGGGTCAATGTCAGTCAGTTGGTCAGTCAGTCCACCACTTTGGCCCAGACTGAAATATCTCAACCACTACTGGATGGACTGCCATGTAATTTTGAACAAACTTTCATGGTTAACGGAGCATGGAGCTTAATGACTTTTGTGATCCCTTGACTTTTTGTCTAGTGCCACCAGCAGGTTGACATTTTTGGTTTTTAGTGAAACAACTATTGGATGGGTTGTCATGAAAGGATACAGATGTCCATGATGCCCAGAATACTATGACTTTGGGGATTCCTTGATTGTTCCTATATAACGCCATTAGCAGGTCAAAGTTTTCACTTGTCCCATGGAAAAAACTCTATATTTCCCTCTATAAAGAGGTATCTGCAATGTATGCACTATCTGTAGGCAACGGGACAAGATATTTGTATTGAAGTCTGACCAATTATGTTTGAGCGGCAGGTAAACAGTTTGACGCATTGGCCGTAATGCAATCTCAGAACACATTGGCTATCGTCTAGAGATTTATTTATAGAGGTTTATATTAGCCTTTAAAAAAATCTGTATTCATATGCAAATACCTGTTTATAAAGATTGACCGAAATGACTGGCACATGGAAGAGGAAGTCTCGGTGGAGATATCTGCTGGCTACACTGGTTTCCTGAAATATTGGCTATTCCCCCCAGAGTCTTATTGTTCTCAGACTGACAGCCAGTGGGTTTCGAGACTGTCTCGACATCTACCTGCCAGATTGGCATCACATGTTGTAGAGACATTCATGGTCCCTAGAGGGTAAAGCTTAATGACTTTGGTGACAACCCAGTGTTTTCTCTAGCACCACCACGACAGTTACACTTTTTTGTGAAAACTCAACCATAATTGGACGGCCATGATTGTCTGTCGTTACACACATTCATGTACCCCTCCAGATGAATAGCAATCACTTTGCTGATGCTGTAACTTTTCATCTAACACCACAACCAGGTCAATTTTCTAATTTGTCCAAGACTTTGGCTTACCAAATAGAAGCTTAGTCCTTGGGTACTTAGCTTGAGAAATAGAGGGTTGCAAGTTCAAGAACTCGCATGGACCAAATACTGAGTAGGGACTGGTATGTGGAAAAATGCCAGTTTGCCTCCTCGGCACTGATGACGTGGCCTTAAGCAAGGCAGAGAACCCTAAACTAATTGGGGTCCATCCTGTGAGGCTGCCTAGCTATAGCATCTATTCAAACGTACACAATGCATATAGGTGTAACCCAGGTGGCAAATCCAAATCTTGTAGTATTCACTTGTTTGTGAATGTGTGTGAATACAGTTAGGGTTATCAACA